GCTCTCCACTCAGAGGAGGAGCTAGGTTCTCTTCTATCCTGTGTCACCTCTCCTGGCTGCATGACCTCGAGCAAGTCCTGGCCCCTCCCTTGGGCCTCGGTTGACCGTTCTGTAAAATAAGGGTGCTGGGCTAAGTGGTGTTGGGTCTTAGCTGGCTTATGTGGGGCAGGGCCTTCTGATGGGGAAGAGCTCTGGGTTGAGCTCCGGGCTGGCACGACTGCCTTCCATGGGTCCTTGGAGTCACCTCAGTGTCATGTTCTCCCCTGCAGGAGGTAGGATGCAGGAGCTGTGTCTGCTGTGCTGGGCGGTCCTCCTGGGCCTGGGGCAAGCCTGTCCTGAGCCCTGTGACTGTGGGGAGAAGTACGGCTTCCGGATCGCCGACTGTGCCTACCGCGACCTGGAGGCTGTGCCACCTGGCTTCCCAGCCAACCTGACCACATTGAGCCTGTCAGCCAACCGGCTGCCCAGCTTGCCAGAGGGTGCCTTCAGGGAGGTGCCCCTGCTGCGGTCTCTGTGGGTGGCACACAATGAGATTCGCACAGTGGCTGCTGGCGCTCTGACCTCACTGGGCCATCTCCAGAGCCTGGACCTCAGCCACAACCTCATCTCTGACTTTGCCTGGAGCAACCTGCACAACCTTAGCGCCCTCCAGTTACTCAAGATGAACAGCAATGAGCTGACCTTCATCCCCCGAGATGCCTTCCGCAGTCTTCATGCCCTGAGCTCACTGCAGCTCAGTCACAACCGCTTGCACACACTGGCTGAGGGCACCTTTGCACCGCTCATCGTGCTGTCCCACCTGCAGATCAATAACAACCCTTTCCAGTGTACCTGCGGCATCATGTGGTTCAAGACATGGGCCCTGACCACAGCCGTATCCATCCCAGAGCAGGACAACATCACCTGCACCTCACCCGATGTGCTGAAGGGCACACCGCTGACCCGCCTGCTGCCACTGCCTTGTTCAGCACCCTCGGTGCAACTCACCTACCAGCCCAGCCAGGATGGTGCCGAGCTGCGGCCTGGCTTCATGCTGGCACTCTATTGTGCTGTGGAGGGGCAGCCGGCCCCGCAGCTTCACTGGCACATCCAGACGCCTGGAGGCACGGTGGAGATCACCAGCCCCAACGTGGGTGCTGATGGGCATGCCCTGGCAGCCAGCAGCCAGCCACGCTTCCAGGCCTTTGCCAATGGCAGCCTGTTCATCCCTGACTTTGGCAAGCCGGAGGAAGGCACCTACAGCTGCCTGGCCACCAATGAGCTGGGCAGTGCGGAGAGCTCGGTGAACGTGGCACTAGCTACTCCGGGCGAGGATGTGCTGCGGCGCAGGTTCCATGGCAAAGCTGCGGAGGGTAAGGGCTGCTATACGGTTGACAACGAGGTGCAGCCGTCAGGTCCTGAGGACAACGTGGTCATCATTTACCTCAGCCGCACTAGAGGCCAGGAGGCTGCAGAAGCAGGGGGCGGGGTCTCTGGGCAGCAGCCCCCAGGCCTGCTTCTGCTGGGCCAGAGCCTCCTCCTCCTCCTCCTCCTCCTCACTTCCTTCTAGCTCCGCCCCCACCCAGCTGAGCTGCAGCAGCCCCGGTGACTCCTCCCCCTGACTCCGTGGATGTCCAGGCAGGGGTCTGGGGCTGGCAGCTCCCAAGACCTGCATGAGGGATATCACATCTTCCTACCTCCCCTTCTATTCTCTTCCGGGACACTCGCCACATCCACTTCTAGACTCGCTCAATGCTAGTGACTAGGTCAGAATTGGATCCCATAACTCATGGGTCTTCGGTATTCCTTGCTGCTAACCACATGGCCCATGCCCCCCTGTGTAGGCAGCGTGCTAACAGGATACTACCCTACAACTGGGCAAGGCCTCACTGATGGAATCCAGGGACTGGGACTGACCAGCTGGCGAAGGCTGGGGGCTTAGGCCTTGGCAGGGAAATAGCCTGAAGTAGACAGGGCACAGGAGAAAGAAATGGGATATAGGGGCAGAGGCTGGTGTGGCTTTGAGACTCTCAGTGACCTGCTTGAGCTCCTGCTGCCCTGGGGCGTTCCCTAATGACTTGGGGGCTCCAAATTCTCTGCCCCGTCTCAGACAGGACTGGAGGATCTGGGGGCCTTCCTCTTCTCATCCTTTCTCCTTTAGCCTCTGCCCTGCCATCCTGGACATCTGCTCTGCCTCTCTCTCCAAGTGTGCATCTGTTGCCTAGCCCTCTGAGGCGGCCAGTCAGCCTGGGGACAGCGGAGGAATAAATAGCATTTCTGATGCTCCCTGTGTCTGCCTGGAGTTTCATCTGATCTAGAAGCCCCTGTCAGGGGTAGGACCAGGAGCTGGAGAGTCAGGATGGCCAGCCGGCCTGTCCACATGGGACGGGCCTGTGAGACACACACTGACTATGCGGCAGGCGGTAGCATGGGTGGCCCAGTGGTGGGTGAGAGGCTGGGTCCCCAGCTGAGCTGAGTTGCAGATGTCCCTCCCCCCAAATTAGCCCATGAGACAAATGGGGACACTAGCTACTGAGGCTTCCCTGGGACCCTGAGTGGTGCTGTATGCAGTAAGGGTGTGAGGAGGCATTGTAGAGGCGGGGAAAGAAAGAGCCTGGATTGTGGTCCTCTTCCTGGTCCAGTCCATGGAAGAGATGTCACGGAGTGTAGATGGAAGGGGGATAGGCTATGCAAGATGGAGAAGTGAGAGAAGGGAGGGGATGGGGGACATAGGACATAGAGGAGAGAGGACGGAGGGAAGAAAAAGGACCCAGGAGACTGAGGAGAACAGATTTGAGGGAGAAGCCAAAGGAAATGGATGTCCTTCCTCCCACCTTTTCAGGAAGAGGAAACGGCATTTCTGGAGGAAAGTCCTTTCGTAGGAGTCCTTCCCCCACAGAACAGATGGGCCAGTAACTGTCTTGGGGGAGGGGGCAGGTAGGATGAGGGCCTGGCAACAGCCTGCAGATCTCTTAGAATGGGGAGCAGGTAGATGGGGTCAGGACCTGGGGACTATAAGAACCCTGTATCTGTGCTGGGTCTGATGTATCTCCCCTCTGCTCCCATCCCCATCCCTTTCCAAATTGAAGGATGCTACACATAGGACGACCCCATGGGAGAGGCTCTGCCACCTTTGCCCAGAGCTCTCAGGACTGCTGAGCGCAGCAAAATAGAGGCAGGGAGACCAAGGAGCCTGGGGTAGAAGCTATGAGCCTCGGAGGCTGGCCAGCCTCCCTTTCCCCTCTTCCTGGTCTGCATTGGGCACTTCTCCACCCCCTCTTCAGCTTGTAGCTCCCACTGAACAGATGACACCAGCAGCACATGTCAAGGACTGTGTATCTGGTGGAAAAAACAGCAAGAAAAAGCTGAGCCCCTGTGCTGTGCCACCTTAAATAAGTCACTACCCATCTCTGGACTTTAGTTTCCTTAGGGAAAAAAAAGACAGGCCCTGTCTCAGTTGGTTGGAGTATTGTCCTATACAGGGAAAGGCAACCAATCAGTGTTCCTCTCTCCGTCTCTCTCTTTCTCTCCCCCTTCCTCTCTCTCTAAAAAAAATCAATAAAAACATATCCTCAGGTGAAAATTAAAAAGCCATATTTCTGAATAAAAGAAATGAATGAGTACAATTTTTTAAAAAAGATGAGGTAGGACATGGTAGTGCTTAAGAGTCCAGTGGACTCTGGTTCACTAAGGCTTGATAACCCTAACCTGACTTGGACCTCTGATGTCTCTGGCTCCATTCACAGTTGAGCAGGCCTGGCTTTTTGGAGTAGGACGTGGGCCCAAGACCTGAGTCAGGGGTGACTGGGGAACAGCTGTGCTCCAAATGAACTGGCTACTCTCCTGCTTTAAAGTCACCCATGGCGCCCACTGCCTTGGGATGAAGCTCTGAGTTCCCCAGCCAAGTATTCATGGCCACTCTGACTGGCTCTCCCAGGTCCCCCCTCCCCTCCTGGCCTCCCTTAGAACTAATGACTTGTTCTCTAAATGTTCTGTGATGAGTCTTCCTCTGCACCTTTATTCATGCTGTTCCCTTGGTCTGGACACCATTCCCCTCTTCCTTACTTGGCTAAGTCAGCCTTTGAGACGGCTTAGGTACCACATCCTCCAGAAAGCCTTCCTGGATGCCCTGTCCCTGCTTCCCAGCGCACACTATGCCCCCTCCTCTGGCTCCCACAGCGCTGGGCGTCCAGTGTCCCAGCCTGATCACACTCTGCTGTGACTGGTTCCTTGTTAAGGGCTGAGACCCAGTCTGCCCTCTCCTCCCTGTGATCCTGTCAGTCACGGACACAGGGCCAGGGAGACATTTTTCACGGCTGCAGTGGGGTCAGAGCCTGCCTTCTTTGCCCTCCTCACAGGCAGCCTTGAAGGTGGGTCCCAGCTCCCTGGTCCTGCCCCTGGTTTCATGTGTGTTTGGGGCTGTATTGGGGTGTAGGAACGTGGAGGAGGAGTTGGTCTCCACTAATTGTGCAGACATATTTTTAGGCCCCACTGATACTGATCTCTGGAGTGGCCACATTTCCATCAACCTCTGTAGCCCCAGCCCACAATGGACCCACACCCTCACCTACACAGCTTCCGACCTCCACCAGTCTCCAGCAGGGAAAGGGCCACTTCACGAGCCCCCACTGCCCTTCCCCTCTGCATCCTTGATCTTCCACCATCAGGGCAGCTCCCTCAGTGCACGCCCCCACCTCCACACCTTAATTCACATTGTCCCCATCTTCCTTAAGTCTCTTCTGCTCCCCAAGTCCTGCTCATTCTTGAGTAAGGACCCTGAATAAGTCCTACTTTCTAAAGCCAATGCCCCCATGGCTCAAGGGTGGCATCACAGGGTTCCTAATCTCTCCACCACCCAAAGGGATGCGGCTAGTGGGAGGGTCTTCTCTGCCCCAACCCAGGGGGCCCAGCCCAGCATGTGACCAGAATACCCATCCCCACCCAAGCCCCATAAAACCGTGTGGACAGTTTTCCCCACGTGACCCACCCCTACGGAGGACTATTTCTCAAGGACAAGTTTATCGCAGGGAGCACACTGACCTCTTTTATAATATCTAAAGGCATACCAACTACAAAAATATCAGCTCTCAAGTGTGGGCAGCTCGGTGTGGGGCCTTGTGCGAGCTATGACTTTGTTGCCAGTAGGAGCCCACTCGCTTTCTCCTGGGCTGCTGGAGCGAGGCTGTCCCAGCTAGAATCACCAATCCAGGTCAGCAGAAGGCTTCAGTGAGGCCCTGGAGGCTGGCAGCAGGGCCAGCGAGGGGAGGGACCTGGATGTAGCTTTTCTGGCTCCATTGGCTCCTGGACCAAGGGCCTAAACCATTGATTGCTTTCTTCAGAGTCCTTAGCTTCCCAAGGCCAAGGGAGCAGAATAGAGCCCTCTCTCAAGGCTCACAATGTAGACAACCTCCACACAACCGCAGTGACCTCCAGCCTCGGGGGCTGGTCACTGGGATCCTGATCCTGGGATCTGCTGGCAGAGCTGGTGCTAAGCAGAGAGCCTACCATGGCTGGGGCAATGCTGGGAGAACCAGGGAAGGGATGGGCTGGGAAGAGGGGAAGCAAGCGCACAGATGGGGACACATGCCTTGGCGTTCCCCCCTCAGGGCTGGGTGCCATTGGCCCGGGCACCTGACAGGGCCCTCTTCCGGAAGGTCTGTAGGGCTGGGTTGTGCAGCAGCGTGTAGGTCAGACCCCATCGAGCCCTGCCTTGGCGGGCTCTGGGCCCTGTTCCCTTGGCCACAGGGTCATTGATCTGCAGCAGCTGGATCCCTGAGAAGGGGAGACCTTCTGTGAGTCACTCATCAAACCCAGCCAAGCCCCCTGAACCCAGACCTGAACACAGTCTGAAAATCCCCTGGGTGAGTGGAGGAGGCTGGTGAGACTGGAGTTCCAGCTTAGTGTCCCCCTCCCTACTACACACTTCCCAGACAGTACGGGAGGAGCGGGGAGGACAGACTGCCTGAGAGGGAGAGGTGGAGGGTGGCCCATGGTGGGGGAAGACAGAGCTCCTTGGCAAGATGGCCATCTCCTTCTCTGTGAGAGGATGTGCGAGCATGCAGAGTGAGAAAGGGTGTGCATGGGCGCACATGCATGTACATGGTGGAAAAAATTACCAAAATGGACCAGGAAAATTCTCACTTCCTCTCTCCCACAGGCAGCTCAGGAACAGAAAGTGAGCATTTTCCTGCTCAGTGGTGCATGTTGGGGAGGGGTGTATCCCTCCTTCCTGGGAGAAGCTGTGGGTGGGCTCAACTCTCCCAACCCCAAAGGGAAGGTGCACCTTCTTCTTCCATTCCGAGTCTGAGGCCATCCTGGGGGGCCGGATGGGGCTGGGGCTTCTGTGTTCGCAGGAGCAGGGTACAGAAGGCTATCATGGCTGGATGCGACTGGTTGACCTCAATTTTCAAGAAGTTGCAGTATGTGCGATAGCCTGGGGTGGGCAGGGGATGGTGGCGCTCAGACAGAAGGGCCCAGACAGTCCCTAACACACACACCTACACACACACACACACACACACACATGCACCCTGCACACTCTGCATCAAAGCACATAGACACACCTGAGCACATGGCACATGCACTGCACGTGGGCCCACTGCACACACCGATGTGGCAGTCCCAGACATCCTCAGAGAACAGATTTGAACATAAACCAGGTCAGGGCATCAGGGCAGACCCTCCCTTACAGCTTGGGCAGCCTGAGCAACCCCCACCCTGGCCCTGCCCTGTGACCTTACCAGGGTCAAGAGTGGCAGCTCTAGGTGGCAGCAGGCTGAGGTCCATCTGACCAAGGTGGACAGCATTGTAGAGGGCAGAGAGGACCACTCGCCAGATGGCCACCATGACGCCCACCAGCACGTTGATGGGGAAGAGAAGGAAGGTGGCCGCATAGAGTGCGCAGCTAGGGTGAGGGAGAAGCAAGGCTAAGTCAGGCCCCCACACCCCCAGCCCCTTCCTCAGCTGATGACCACAGCTGATGTGTATTTATTGAGTACCTGCTGTTTATTGAGTATACTTTGTATGCACCCCATCCTGTGCTGGGCCAACTCTCAACCCAGCTGGCCCTCCTCACCACTCTGGGAGACAGGCCATGTACTCCCTCCTATAGAAGGGAAACTGAGGCCCAGAGAAATTGGGTGACTTAGCTAAAGCTGCCTAGCTAGTCAGTGTCAGAGTTAGGGTTTAAGTTCAGTTCCACCTGGATCTTTCTATGACCCCAGTGTCTCCCACCTCCCTTCTCTGGTTCCCTTGTCCATTGACTCTGAGTCTCTCTTGGGGCTAAGGTCCGCCCACAGCCTTACCATCTAACAGGGAATTAATGTTTCTGTTAATCTCCTTCCTGCAAAGAGGGAGGCACATGGTGTGGAGGACATAGAGGATCCAGGGGAGAGCAATGTTGATCTCGAAGCAGGAAAGGCTATGGGGTGACGCTGGCCCTGTGACAGATGTATGTGGAGTAGGCTTGGCCACTGCCCCATTCTCTGTGGGTAAGGCAATCTCTGTTTACTACCCACTGGGCTCCCTGACAGAGAAGGGAGAGATGGCAGTGGAGGAGGAAGGACACAGCTAAAGACATGAAGGATAAGAGGCTGAGGACCTGAAAGAGCCACAAACCCAGGAGCTGCCTTACCGGTTGGTCAGCTCTGGCCATCCATGGTGAGTCTTCAGAAAGACCCAGTGGGCTGCCATGTTCTGCAGAGTTACAGCCAGGGCCAAGGTCAGCCAGAAAGGCCTGCAGGCGGAGTGGGAGGGTGTCACTGTTAGTGGCCCTCTGGGAAGGGTTCCCAGGGCCCTCAGCCCTTTGCCTCTCTTACCACAAGGACGCCAGTGATTGGAGGAGCAGAAGGTTACTGCCATGGAGCACGGGCATAAACACCAGGAAGGCCAGGGCCATGGTCCCCAGGAAGAAGATGATCTGCTGTGTCAGGAGCCCTGCCAGGGTGAGGAGGGGACAAACAGCAGCCTCTGCAGGACCCAGACCACCCTGGCACTCCCAGGAGCCCAAAGACCTTGGGATCGGGCAGACCTGACTTCAGCTCCCTGCTCGGACGCCTCGCTGTGCCACCTGAGCAAGTTAGTTTACATTCCTGAGCGTTGGTTTCTCCCTCTGCAAAATGGGGAGAGTGGCCCCCACCACACAGGGCTGTTGTGAGGACCCAATGAGATGATGTCTGTGCAACCCTTTGAAAACCAGTAGGTGCTTTGTCAATGTTATTTTCCCTCCGTTGCTGCTGAGTCCTTGGGGAGCAGACTACATTTTAAAGTAATGCTTGCGTTCTTCCTGCCCAGAGTCTGGAACACAGTAGGCGCCCCACAGTTGTCTAATGGAACAACTGCTAATGGTTTATGTGGGCACATGTGTACAAGAGGGCTTGGGAGGTACCAAGTCCACTGAGATGATCAAATCTACTCCTTGGTCATCCTTCTGCCCTCCTTCTGGAGTGCAGGGTGAGAACTGAAGGAACCAGCAGGGAGAGAAAGCTGCCCTGGCTCTCACAACACTGACCCATCTTCCCTGAACGTCAGAGGCTTTATTCACCACAGTGCCCTGGGGAGAACCAGAAAGTTAGGAGCTGGGAGCGTCCTGGGAGTTAATCTAGTCCAACTCCCTCAAGAACAGACCCCCTTTGCAATCCCCATCTATGGCCATGGAATCCTGCCTGCGTACCCCCAGTGACGGATCTCATTGCCTCCTGAGACAGCCCATCATGGCATAGCCCTCCCTCACACAAGCAGAATGTGCCTCCTTCAGCTCCCCACCTTCCAGTCCTGGGTCTACCCCCTGTGTAAACAGCTGGTGGCACCCCGGGACCATGCTCATGTTAGGGGCATTCTTTCCCCAAGGGCTCCTGTGTCCCCTAGCCCCACCTGAGTGAGCTTCCTGAGTGCAGGGAAGGCCAGGCGGGTCCCTCTTTTCACTCTTATCCCAGAACTTGCCCCAGCATAGGCAGGCAGTCAAGAACTGCTGACCACTCTCCCCTCACTCACTGGGGTCAGTGTCTGGGGCCAGTCAAGGCCCAGCAGGGTGGGCTGAGGGGCTCACCAAGGCAGGTAAAAGCAGTCTGGTAAGCACTGAAGTTCATCCAACAGAATATGGCCTGGCGAGAGGGGTGAGGGCTCTGAGGCAGGGGGCCAAGGTCCAGGGCAGCCCCTCGGTGTAGCGCTTGCAGATTGGCCCTGGGATGAGGGTGAAAAGGCAGGGATCTCAGGAGCACATATACTCCCTAAATTCTTCCTCTAGGCTAGCCACTGGCTGAACTCTCAGTCTAATTACAACCCAAAGGCAGGGAAGCTCAGGGCTGTGGGAACCCAGTGGAGGCTACTAAGCCAGCCATGGGAGGTCAGGGAGGGCTTCCCAGAGGAGGCAAGGTCTGACTAGAGAGTCTTAAAGGATAAATAAGAGTAAGAGTAAGCTGGTGAGGTGGGGATCTAGGGAAACAAATTCAGGCCGAAGGTTCAATGTGAGCCAAGTCATAAAAGTGAGAAACAACAGAAGAGATGGAAAGTGACTCACAGCTCGGCCATCAGAGTGGGGGGCAAGGTTCCCCATCTATGGCCATGGAACCCTGCTTGCATACCTCCAGTGACATGGATCTCATTACCTCCTGAGACAGCCCATATTGGCACTCGAGCAGGAATGTGCTGAACATAATGCAATGCAGAGGCTTGAGGGCCTGGAATGCCAGCCTCAGTAGGGCTACCCCTGTGAGGAAAGATCCCTGTGGGACAACCTCTGAGGCCCGATGAATGTGCAGGTCGTAGGAACCAGTTCTCTGACATGGATCACCCCTCCCTCCCAACTAGAACCTTCTCTCTCTCTCTGCTCACATTTCCTCAGTGCTCCTTATCATTTACATGAACAGGCAAGGCGGGCAGCCTGACATTCAATGTCCCGTAACAATCTCTCCAGTGCCGGTCAGACCACCTCCTCACCCACACCCACAAGCATCAGGCTCACCCAGCCTCTGTGCCCTTGTCATGCAGTTCTCCTGCCCGTGGCACCCTTCCTCCCTCAGCTCCTTCGTCCTCTCCCATTCCCAGGTGCCTCCTATCAAATCCAGCCCACCCAGGTGGCCCCTCTCAGTATAGGCAAACTCACACTTCAGCCCCTACTCAGTCATGACCTAGAATCATTCACAGATGGTTACCCACTCAGATTGAACCGCCCAGCTTCTCTGCCCAACACAGGGCAGCTGACTCAGTGGCAACCTGGGCCTGCAGAGACCCTCCCTCCCTCTAGCCCCAGGGCTTTTCCCACAGCCCTTCTGAGTCAGGGGTCCTATAAGCCCATAGACGCTGACCTCCTCCCCACTTCCACAATGAGGGACAGAGCCAGCCACTGACCTGTGTGTCACCAGTGAGCGAGTCAGCATGAGGAAGGTGAGTGAGCAGGACAGGACCAAGGCTGAGATGTAGCAAACTGGAGGGTGAAGAAGAAGCAAAGTGGGAGGCCATGGCTGGAGGCTCTCCTGGCAGCCTCCAAACTGCTACCAGGGTGTGCCTGGGGGGAGTTACCCTGCCACACACCCCACTGTGAGCAGAAGCCTCTTGCCACATTCCCTGTTCTCAGACCCAGTGTAAGCTGACAGCCCTGGCTGGCCTATGGTGCCAGGTGACACAGGGTGGCCAAGATGAGGAGAGGCCCCTCTGAGGTTGTAGACTTGATCCTCACCCGGGTCTTGCTTTCCAGTGAGAGATGCATTCAACCTGGCATCTGCCTCCAGATCCACTGCTCCCTGATCGTGTGGCCTCCAGGTGTCATTTCATCTCGGTGTCATTTCATCTCCCAGCCTAGCTTGCTAATGCCGGGCACACTGCTGTGCTGCCCATCTCACAGCATCATGTGAGCATGAAACCCCATCTAGGCCTGCATCAATGGCCTTTGTTCCAGGCACGAGGATGCACATGCACTTCAGTGTGGCCTGAGTCCATCAGAATGAGGGGAGGTGACCACTGCTACCCATCTCTACCCCATCCCCCTGGCCACCCAGCCATGAGCACAGATCATGAGTTTGCTGTCTCACCAGCAGCTGGGGGAGAATGCCTGGTTGTGAGCAAGCCTGGTAATGAAGCAGAGTGAGGATGGAGGCTGCACCCCTTTCACCTTACATCCACACCCAGCCTTGCCCTGCACCCTCAAAGCAGCCCTACAGGAGAAGCACGTGAAAACATGGAACCAAGAAAGAGGCCGAGACTCAGAGGTCTGCCCCACCAGCCACACTGTAGGAAGTGGTAGAGCCAGAAGTGTAACCATTCCCAAGCAGACCCAGAAAGAGCCAGGGTGCCTGCACCCTGCTCTCCTCAGCCAGCCCAGGGAAGTGTTCCTGGTTTCCTGTTCCACAAGAGCAGGGCCGGTGGTTGAGGGGCAGGGGGTGCAAATGCACGTGAAAAAGGCAAGCACTGGTTCCACATTAACTACAGGTGCTGGAGAAGGGCACTGGCAGCATGTTCGGATCATCTGGAGATATTAAAAGCCCCATGGCCCAGGCTACACCCCCAACCAATTAAATCAGAAGTTCTGGGGGTGGGACTCAGGCCTTAGCTTTTGTAAAAACAACCCTGGCGATTCTGGCATGCAGCCAGCATTGAGAACCACTGTAATGGGGGCTTTCAGAAGATAGAGCCTTAAAGGTTTATTTCAATAAGCAATTGAGTGAAATCAATCATCCAATTGACATGTATAGAGTGCCTGCTACAGTGGTTCTCAAACAAACTGTAGGCTCACATCAGAGTCACCAGGGTTTCTGAAGTCAGGCCTGGAGCTTGAGCCTTGGGGTTTTTAAAGTTACCAGGCGATTCTTGGGAAAACTGCTCCAGAAACCGGAGTCTCCCTGCCTGTCCTGGGCTCACTCCTCCAGGGGCAGGAGGTGGTACTTTTCTGAAGTGAAGCTGGGAGAAAGCTCTGAGCATGCATCTGCCCTTCAGGAGCCAGTTCTGCACCAGCAAAGATGCATTCAGACTATTTCTGCCAGGAGGTAAGGAGCCTGCCTGCTGAGCCATCCCGGGGCCCCAGGCCCAGCCTTTGATATCCATCTACCTCCTGCTCTACATCTTTTCAATTGGTTCCAAACTTGGGTCCCTCCTAATCCTGATGCCCATAAGGTCTTCCTGCACTTAGCCTCCTCTGGGACACTGCAGCTGTTCCCTTCTGGGACCTGTTTGGTGGATCCATCTGTCTTCCCCACCAGATCTAGGGCCTCAAGGACAAGGCTGCCTTTGTTGCTGCAGCACCGTTTTGCAGAAAGGGAATTTGAGGTCCAGAGAAGTGCCTTGCCCAAGGTCACACAGCTAGTAAGTGACAGTGCAGAAATTCTAATCTAGTCCGCCTGGCTCAGAGTGAACTTTCTGTGACCAATGCCAGGTTTACTAACCAGGTGCCGGGGAGGAGAGGGTGGCAGCCCTAAAACAGGCCCTCAGCGCTCAGATGGCATATTAGCTCCTTAGGCTAAGAACACACCAAAGGGTCCCAAAGCCAGATCTAATCTCAATTCCACTCTGGCTTGCTGACTGCTTTGGACATATCTCTAATGCCCCTAGGCTTCGGTTTTCCTCATCTTTAAACTAGGAGAGTAAAGGCTGCCGTTTGACCCTGCATCTGAGAAGATTCAAAATGGGAACCTTTGGGTGTGGAAACCACGGCATGTGATTACAAACGCCAGGCATATTGAGTAGAAGCAGAATCCATTGTCCTGGGCCTGTCACTTCCTGCCTCTGATCCTTGATTCCCTATTCTGAGCTATGGCATCAATGATGTTAACCTAACAGGGCTGTTGTGAGGTCTGTGCTTGGATGTGGACTGATGTGAGTCATGTCTACTCCTGCCTGTGGCCCCAGTTGTAGCCAAGTTGGAAAATCTCCCTGGAGATGTCATTTCAGCCCACCAGAACTTGTCACCTGTCCAGCTTGTGGGCCTTAGTTGCAATCCAGGGCAGCCTCTGGTATGGGAGGAGAATTGCTCAGGAAGGTGGTGAGGCTGGCGTCAGGAAAGGAAGCAGTACCATACACACCCCTGCCCTTGCCCATTCCCTACCCCTCCCTGCTCTCAGCCCCTCCCAGCTCTCAGCATGCCTGATCTGTGGATGAGGATACTGATGGTCAGGAACAGTGGCAGCCTAAGCTCCAAACATCACATGTTACTCCTCAGAAGCCAGGGTACTCATACCAGCCAAGGACTCCAAAGTCAGCAGAGAGTGCAGGACCCATGACTCCTGACCACGAGGCTTTGGTCTCACAGTGGTGGAGAGAGTCCCAGCAGGGGCATCAGAAGGCTGAGTTCTTTGCTGCCTGACTACCACCTGAGGTGAGCCCTTTCCCATTGTTAAGCGGGGACACTTCTCAGTCTCCTCCACAGGGCTATTGGGAGGGCCTGGAAGGTGGGGGAGGTGGGTAACAGAGCTAAGGGATGAAGGAAACTTCTAACCCCAGAAGGGAAGGCTGGTATGGTTCCCCAGCCTGGGTCTCATTGTCAAGGGAGGGAGGGAGAAAGGACATGGCCCGAGGACAGGGATTGGGAGAGAAAAAGCATCCGCTGAGCCCAATCCCACCCACCATGAGAATGAGCTCAAAATTTTGGTGCTCCTTCCATCCCCACAGCTCCACCTCCTCTCTTCCTCCCCAGCCTCAGCAAAGGCCCCAAGCTGTCACCTCAGCTCACACTCCATGGCCTTCCCCATCTCCAGCCTGCAGAGCTGGGCAAAGCCACTGTGGGTGAGGCTGGGAGACACCACACAAGCTGACGAGGGGCTACTGAGATGACCCCTTCAGGTCTCAGAGTCTTGGGACTGGAAGCCCCAAGCCCCAACCCCCCAATTTGGAGATGACATTTTTGAGACCCAAAGAAGGGAAGGAATGTGTCCAAGGGCGAGCAGCTCAGATATCCCACTATCCCACCCAGCTCACATTCTCCCCCCCACCCCCCCCGCAGGCCCTCAGGGACCCTCCTCCCCCGGGGACCTCACCTTCCAGAGCCCACAGGTGGTACTTCACCAGCTCCACCACCTCCTGCCTGTCCTCTGAGAGCACAATCCCAAAACCGGCCAGCAGGTAGGAGACGTCCGTGGTGATCCCCGCCCTCACTTTCTGGATGGTGGGTACCACACCCACCAGCAGCAGCAGGGCCACCTGGAAGAACCCCAGAATGAGAGCACCAGGGTCTGGCTGTGCCGAACCAGGCACTCCCATTCCAGGAAAAGTGTTTTCTGAGTCACAGGGAAGACTCTCGGGAGCACACAGGCTGCATCGTTCCTGGCACCCATCAGTGTTCTGATCTGCCCCCAAGAACAGTGTCCTCATGCCTGTGGTCAGCATGTTACAAACAGATCCAATCTTAGCTAATAGGCCAGAGGTGTGCTTTCAGGCAGCACAACTGTACATCTACGCCTGTCTGTCAGTCTATATCAGTTATCTATCTTAAATTTCAGAATATAAAATTTCCAACTTTTCTACATTGGAGAAAGCAGTGTCCTATAAATGAGCAGAGGCATTGGAGCTGGACAGGCTTGGATTCAGACATTGGCTGCCCTGAGATATTAGCTGTAGGAACTTGGCCAAGTCAAATTCACCTCTCTGAGCCTCCATTTCTCCCCTCTGTAAAATAGAGAAAAATCATACCCACCTCCTGAGATTTTGGTTGGTTGGTTGGTTTGTAAGGGGTGGTGGTGGTGGTAGTGGGGATTTATCAAACACATGTTATTTCACTAAATCTTCCCAAATTCCCAAAGATGAAGGTAATTTCTTCCACTTTTAGCTGAGCCAATGGGTTTAAGGAGGTTGACTAACTTATGCAAGTCACACAGGAGGTAAATAATGAAGCTAGGATGTAAACCCTTGTTCATGTGACTCCAAAACTCATGCTCTGACTCTGTGTGAGTCCAACAAGAGCCAATGCCTTCTCCCTCTGGGTAGGCCGGCGTTCCCAAGACATCAGAAGCAGCTGGGCAGGATTGTGGGCCACGCTTTTGGAGAGCTGAGCTGGGCCTGAGCCATCCAGACTTGGGAGTCCGGAGGCAATGGCACTGCAGAGGCAGGACGTACCTGGTAAATGGCCGTCCCTGTCAGGGTGGCTGAAAGCACAAGCGTCAGTGGGAGTCGGAATCCTGCAGTTCCCAAAAAGAAGGGCATGGTGAGCCTAGCACCACCCAGGCCCAGGAGCTCCCACACCTCCCCAGGGGCCCAGGAAAAGGGCCAGGGCTTATAGGACCCTGGACCACCAAGGCCAAGTCAGGCCAGGGGCTCGGGGCTGTTCTTCCTGATGACAGTTCTGAGGGTGGCAGGAGCTGACCTGCCACTGTAGCTGCTTTGTGCATGGGAAGGGGGAGGTCACCTGTCACTCTGGACCTCAGCTCCCCACTCCATACCTCGCTGTGGAGTGTAGATGTAGTGTCTGAAGCAGATCCAGGCCTGGGACAGAAAGCCATGCTTGGATGTGTGGGAGCTGCAGAAAGACCCAGGAAGTGGAGGGGACTCAGGGGAAGCCCCTGCCCCGAGACCCAGAGTTTTGTCAATTCCTCATCTCTGCCCCACAAGCCTGCCCATTGCCAGCCTCCCAAACAAGCCTGCCTAGCCAGCCCTGCCCACTGGCCCAGAGGGTGTGCCTAGAACCTCACCTGCTTCTCAGCTTCTTCAGGCAAAGGAGGGTCCTCAGATATTCCTCAGGGTAGCTGCTTTGCAGCCTCTGGGGGGACAGACAGATGAGACCTGCCTTGAACCATCCCTGGGACCCTGGCTTAAGGTACCACAGTGAGCACCCAGTAGGTGCGCCATAAAAACCTCTTGGTTGTGGTGGAGTGCAGAGAAGGGCCAACCTGTGGGATGAGGCCCATATCCCCCAACACTGCCCTTTCCTCCTCCATAAATACAAGATTAATTGGTCTCCTATCTAAGAACACTCAATGCTGGGAAGTTCTTCCTAAGGTCTAGCTCCAACCCTCTCCTGCTTTACTCAGTCACATCTCATCATCGTTTCCCTCTTGGCCCTCAGGCCTCTGCTGAGACTGGGGCAAAGAGAGCCTATGTTCCATGGGCACATCCCTGATCAGGACGCAGGATGGGGCCGTTCCAGGTCAGATGCCCAGGCCTCTCCTTCTACGCAAGGGAGAGCACAAGGGTAACAGGATTTGTCTAAGCCACATTCCAGGCCTTAAACTGACTTCCAAGTGGCAGAGACCAATGGGAACAGGGGGTGAATCCCTGCCCCCATTATTAGGAGAATGTAGGCCATTGTCACCTGTTGCCATAGCAACTCTGGGATCCAGGACAGGTGTGAGTCAGCTCAAAGCTTGGCTGTGTCCTTTGAGGCTTAAACCTCTTTGACTAAGGGCCAAAGAGGATTTTATTTCTCCCAAGATTTCTCAAGAGGAAACACATGCAATAGGGGGAGAGGCAAGGCAGAGAAGATGCCTGGAAGAGGAGGGGGACAGATTCAGCAAGGCAGAGCCTGGTGCACGTGTATCCTGGGGAGCTGCTCCCCTCTTCTGAGCCAGCTGTAAGAATGAGGGGACAACAGGCTTCCCTAGAGAATAAGGAGGAAGTAGTGACACTGCTGTTGCTCTATGAAAGCTAAACCCAGTCAGGTGAGCCCACGGGGACCCAGGGTGGCCCCTGTAGAACCTGAGCCCACTCTGGCCTCTTCTCCCCTCATCCTCCATTCCTCCTCAAGGACCTCGCTCCTTCTTGAGCTTCAGTCCCAGGCCCTCTCCTGAGCTCCAGGTCATGGTTCAGCTGCTCATCAGACCCTCAAAATGCAAACTGACACAACTGTGCATGGTCCCCTGCGCTCCTGCTCTCATCCAGTGCTCCATATGTCAGCAATGGCACCACCACCTCCCTGCTCTGACCTGGATGCCATCCTTCAAGCCTTCCCCCCCCTGAAAAGTAACCAGACTTTTTCCTCTGTGTCCTCAGACTTTCTCAAGGGCCTCTGTGGAGCAATTTCCTCTTCCTCCTCTTTCACCAGGAAGAGTACCTGACCCTCTCCACCCGCCTTCCATGCACTTGGATGAGCCCCTGTTGTTCCTTTCACCTTGCTGTAGACATGTGCTGCTGCATCCAGCTCCCCCGCTCACTGGGAGCTCCTGGGGTCAGACGCGGTCAGTCAGCTTCGCATCCACAGCACCCAGCCCCGGGCCTGGCACTTGGTAGGTGCTCAGAAGTCTTCTTAATAAGATTATCATATCTCTTGACACAATGTGCCCATCCATCTACCCCAAACTTCAGAAATATTTGCTGAGTGTTTATTGTGTACTAAGACCTGCTGGGTGTTGCCAATCAGGCATGAACAAAACAGAGGAAACCCATCTCTGCCCCTTTATTCATGCTCTCTCCTGTGCCCGCAGCGCTTTCTCCTTATTCTCTCCCCATTCCAGATCCTGCCTGTCCTTCAGGCCACTGCTCAAGTCTACTCCTCCAGGAAGCACTCCCCGCTGCCATCCACCCCCCCCCCCCCATCTGACATTAGCTGACTGAGAGTTGATTGATTCCACAATTCCGCCCTGAGTGCTTCCTGGATCATGGCAGTCTCTGCAGAGCTCCTCACAGAGACAAGGCTCCTGACTTGTCTCATGTCTCCAGTTGGATCCCAGTGGTTCAGGATCAGAGCTATGACTTACTGCTCTGGCCCAGTTCTCCTTTGTTAACGGATAAGAACAGATACTACACTTGATCTTAGCCAAAAGGCTGAGAAGTGATGTAGTTCTCCTTTCTTGAGTCCCTGCTGTGCACATAGCTCAGTGCCCCAGGCATCTTGCGTGCCATCCCAGGGCCTGGCCTAGCCTTTGCCTTAGGAGGGAGGACTAACCAGTTACTTGGCAACCTGGAAAACCTTTTCTGAGGCCTGCTGCATGCTGGGTCCTCCACCAAGTATCACCACATAGAGGGGACCAACAGACAGGGGGAGCCCAGCCCAGCCCCTTTACCTCCAAGCCCGCTCCTGTCCTATGGCTGAAGCTTCTCACAAGCTGCACCGGGTACCAAAGGCTCAGGAATCCAAGGCCCAAAAGGAGAGGCATGGAAGCCAGCAGGGAGTAGTACTTGTAGATCTGTATGGACAGACAGACACCAGACACACCTACCTTCTGCCTTCCTGCCCAACTGAAGGCCAGGGTCCATTTCCCTTCCAACCTCACCCAGGACTCTGAGGGTGGTCTGGGCGCCATGGAAAGGCTCTGGTTCTACCACCATCACCCACCCCAACCAGGGCACTTAGGACAGTCACTCCCACTTCACATTCTCAGGCCCTGCAAGATGCCTGCCCCTCCCCCGGGCTCTTGGACTCCCATGGCCCTTAGAGGAGCCAAAAGGAGGAAGTTATATAACCCCCTCCTCCCAACCCAGGGAGCTGCAATGGAGCCTGAAACAGGTATACCCACTTTCTGTGTTCCTATGTTCCTGACACTTTGGACACAGGCCCCTGAAAATTAGACAAAGGCCTAATTTTGTCTATGCACAGTTTGCAACATGGTCATCAGGGAAGTACATGCCCTACCTCCTGGCTTTGAGGTATTTGTCCCTAAAGTCTCAGGGCTGGACTTCTCATATATTCACTCACTTATTGGTTAGTCAATCCTTTTTATTGTGAGCTTAGTATGTACCAGGTTCTGGGTGGTGAAAAAAATCAATCAAGTCCCTGCTCTCAGTGGAACCAACTAATCTTCACCTCTACCCTGAGGGATTGGTAATATCAACTCCATTTACAGGGGGAAACTGAGTCTCAGGAAGTTGACATGGTTTCCTCAAAGCACTTAGTACCATGTGGAATCATTCTGTACATTTGTTTGTTTACATCTCCCCTTCTGAAATAGCAGCTCTTGGGATGCCAAGAACCTCGTCTGCCTTGTTCACAGCTGTATTCCAGTGTCTAGAAATGTCCCTGGTATGGATTTTGTGCTTCGAATATGTTTGTTGAATAAATGAATGGATGAGTGAATGAATGAATGAAGCTGGATTCAAACTTGGGTTGTCCGACTCCTAAGCCTACATCTCCACCCTTTGGGCTCTAGACTGGGCAGCTTCACATCCCTAGTCAATGGCCAGTGAACCAGGTAAGGTTTTGGAATTCTCTGAGACCATCCCCTACTCAGTGCTTGCCACCCTCCATCTGTCTTCATTTCCCCTCCAGCCTGGCCAACAGAAGGCTAGGGGATCAACAATGGGGGGATTTCAGGCTTCCTTTCCATCTCCTCTGCCCCATCTCCTCCCTACTGCCTCCAGACTAGAAGCCCTTGTCAGCTGGCCCAGCTACCTTGTCTCATAGAGGGGCTGTGTGGAATGACATCTGTTTTAAGGAGTGGAATCCCGTGTACAGTGGAAGGTGGCAGGAAAGCCCAGCATACAAATAGAGATGAAAGGAGCCATGCTGGTATAAGCAGCTCCTCCATGTCCTCTGCCCCAGGCCCTCATGAATCAAAATAAGAAGGTTACCTTGGGCGCCTGGGGACACTCTGCCTTCTGCCAGACCTGGACACCAAAGTGAGCCCAGGACAGCACACTGCCAAGCAGGTGGGCGGCTGCATGCCTGACTGTGGCACAGGCGGCCAAGGAGTAGTAGAAGGCAGGGTAATAGAGCAGAGCCAGCATCTTCCAGGGTCCTGGAAGGCAAGAAGGGCAGAAAGAAATATCTATAGAGGGGCAGGTGTGGACTGAATCCAGTCCACCCAGACCTCTCTCATGTCTCCATCTTCCAAGTCCCTCAGGTGGTTCAGTAGGCAAGAGCCTGGTGTTCAAATCCAGGCTCTGACTAGTATCAGCTCTCTGATCTTGAGCCAGTTACCTCTTGGAGCCTCAGTTTTTCCATCTGTAAAATGGAAGTAATAGTACTAAATTAGTAATGACAAAATAAGAAGGTCTACATACAGTGCTCAGCATGGTATCTAAGTTAGTACTAAATATACAAGCTACTACTTTATTATTATCTCCTTCTCTGACCCTCAGCATCCTTCACTATAGAGTGGGGCTAATGTCCACACTTTGTGGAGTCATTGTGAAAACTGGATGATCTAAAGAGGTCATGCCCCATGCCTCTCCATGGCAGCTGTCCTTGTTACCATCACCTTCTTGAGCTCAGCTCAATTCTCCTGGACCCCTTCCTGGGCCACTCCCCGCCCTCCTTCATTCTCACTGGGGAGTGGGGGGGACCTGAGTCTGGGGGACTCAGCCTGTGCCCATGCACAAGAGAGTTCCCTACATCCTGGAGGTGGGGTTTGTACAAGAATAGAGGAAGCAAATAGGGCAGTATTGACCCAATGTCTGGGACCAACAAAGGGAAGCTTCAGGCATTGTGGAGGGACAGTGGGCGAAGTAAGGGGACAGTGTCTTCTTGGCAGTGGCTCATGAACAGAACGGGGAGCAACTGGGTTCACTGTAGAAGAGCCCTGCTCCGATATTCCGGATTCCCACCCCAACCCCATCCCATCAATCTAGGCCCACACCACTGGGTACCTCGGCTGGATGGTGAAGTCAGGGTGAGGAAGGGCAGCGGGGCCTCAGCCGAGGGCAGCAGACACAGGGAGCTGAAGAGGACCATAAAGATAGCAGCGGGCACGGTCCAGGGCCCATCCATAGTCAGGAAGTCCACAGGGCTGGGGCAGGGGCAGGGACAGGACAGGAGGGAGTTGTCAGGCCCAGTACCCCAATACCTCATGCCATGTCCCACAAACTGGGGAAGTAGAGCCAGTCCCACTTTCCAGCCCACTTTCCAGATAGGGAATTGGAGGCCCTTCATCCATTCATTCCACAAACATTTGTGGAGTGCCTTCTATGTATCAGGTTCTGGGCCCTGTGGCAAAGTGACTTGGGAACATCCCCCCAACACAACTAACAACAACAACAACAACAACAACAACACACACACACACACACACACACACACACACACACACACACACACGAACAAGCCTTAGCACAGCTCCCTCCACCCCCCTGGCAGCTCCAGGAAACAGCTGCCTCCACACTAATTGCTCTGTCTGGGCTGGCAGACTTTCAGAGAGCTCCAAGAGTCACAACATCCTTGCACAATGTCACCGCCCTGGCCTGAGTGTGACCCTGGGGCAGAGGGCAGACAGAGGACACAGCTGTCCTAGGCATCACCTCCCTGGCTCAGGTCAGGCCACAAAGACCCTCTGCTTCTATGGTCTATCTTGCCCTCATGCCCTGACACCTCCATCCTGCTTCACTCTCCCCCAAACCCTCCCCCAGTCAGGGTAGAAACCCCAGTTCCCCCACAAAGTCAGCATGTAGGACCCACCTTGGTGTGCAGCCCCAGCCTGAGGTGCAAGGTTGCCTACATTGGGGCTCCACCCACCACCTCCCCCAACCCTTTGGTGTCTCCCACATAAGTGTGACCAGGGTCATCTCCTCAGGGTCATTTCCTGAGGGTCATCACTGTTCCGGGCTCTGGGGTTGCAGGATGAAGAGTCAGGGGGAGAAAGTCCCGCAGAAATCTGCCGTTAGCATCAGGATCCAGATGAAACCCTCAGGGGAAATGAGGGTCATGATGGTGTGAAGTGATCATGGCCTGTCCAGACCATGAGTCACCTGACAAACTGTCCTGTTGGGTTCCGGTTCCTCGGGGATTGGAACAGGAGCAGGTGAACCTGAGTGGGTCTCTCCCCCTCCCTCTGGTCATCCTGACTAAACCTGAAGATCTGGGTGGGGATGGGGAGTGACCCAGGCTGAGAGAAGAGGGAGTGTCCCGAGGCCAGAGCTGGTACCTAAAAATCACCCCCCAAGCTGGGCCCCCTGAATGGGGGTGCCCAGGCCACAGCACCAACCTGGGCAGCCCGGACCTGCTGTGTCCGCCATGGGGCCAGAGCTGCCGGCACCTCACCAGCAGGGCCAGCAGCAGCAACACAACCACCTAAAGGAGAGCACAGTGGAGGGTGTGGGGTGCCCAGGCCTTCCCTGATGGGCTGAGTCTGGGGACTTGGCCTCGCTACCCGGGAAACCCCCCCATTCCCCTGTCCATACTCATGTGGCATCTTGGGGACTGGCCAAGAGGTGACAAAAGTCTGGGAGGTTGAACTTGGCCTGCATCCTGGTTTGGGTTCCAACCCTGTGAGAGCCCCCTCCCACATTTTGGGCTCCCAGGTGCTCCCTTCATCAGCCCCAGCAGGGAACACCAGTCACGTTGCCCAGGCTGGCAGCAGGTTGCAAGCCAGTTTGGACTTAGGTTAGACTCACCGACAGCACGGCCAAGCTGGTATGGAGGAGGCCAGGCGGCACACTGGGGTGGCAAGAGGGCACTACCCTGCAGATCAAGTGAAGGCTGGTCATGCCTGAGTAGGGACTCCCCAGGTAGGCCACCAGGTCTGGGGTTCCAGGTTGTCTACACTGGGGCTCCATCTCCTTCAACCTTTTGATCTCTCTTACACAAGCCTACCCAGTTCTGCCTTCTTGGGGTCATTGGGCCCTTCTCCAGGGCTCTCATGCTCCTATGGTATGCCAGCCCTGTGCCAAGCTCTGAGATTCCAGGGCTAGAGGAGACAGGGGGCTCCCAGGAGAAGACTCGGAAGAAACAGATTGGGCCAGCTGGGCTGAACCTCTCTTCTTTCTCACCCAGATCCTTCCTATCCTTCAAGGCCCACTTGATCCCCCCCCCCTCCAGGAAGCCTCCCTGATTGCTCCAGGCACCACAGACCTCATCTCAGAACTGTGACTGAGCATACTGCCTAGGTCAAACAATCACGTATTTGGTCCTACAATTTGCCCTCCATTCACTGGTATCTGAGTTTGGTCTGTGTCTGACTGGAATGATCTTCCTTAGTCTTTCAGGACTTATATCTCTTCCTGTTTCCCTTTCATTAAGGGCTTCCATGTACAGCTGAGCAGTTTGCACACTGCACAAGGATGCCCAGCCAAGGGAATGAGTGTGGTCTGAAATCCAGGCCGCACTGCTCTCAAGCACTGTGCCTACTGAGTTGCATTCATCTAAATGGGGGTCTCTGTTTCTAATTACCACAAAGGCTTCCATGGCCTGGCAGAGGACCTACTCTGGCCATAGCTGAGTACAGAGGTGGGTCCATGGTGGAGATAAAGAGATCAATGGGCACAAGAAAGGCTTCCGCTTCCTCAACTGGATCATGGCAAAGAAAGGGTAGGATTCCTGAGCTCAGAGCTGGCCCTGGACTTGGCAGAGCAGACAGGACTGGTCTCTGGGGAGGAGGAGACTCCTGAGTTCGCCCAGCTAGAGCCTGGGAGGACGCCTGTGAGGGCAAGGCCTGCAAGGTGCTGCAGCTGGGCCCTCCCTGCCCAGGAGGCTCAGCCAACCACCTGGGCACCCTCTTGCTGTGTGAGAAGGAAGACTCCCAAGTCTTGTCTGCAGGTGAGCTCAGAGCCCTATGACTCCTCTGGAACAGCCTAGTCTTCCCAGAGCTTGCTTTCTCTCAGAAAATCCCAGAGGGTGAGAAGCAGGAAAGAACCTGGTCGCTGGGCTTGTCCTTGGGGTGGAGGGACAGAATAAGTCTGTTTTGTGCAACTTCTTGGCCAGGGCAGAGCTGGCATCTTTCCAAAACAGAACTGTACTCATGGGTAGGGCAGGTGCCATGTAGGGAATCAGGTTCCCACTGTCTGAGCTCAGGCCTTACACTCCCCACTTCTAACTCTGAGGCCCCTTACTCCAGCATATGGGGTGGGGCTTCGGGTGAGAAATGGCCTCTCTCAGCCCAAGAGCTCATAGCCACCTTTGTAGGCCCTCTCAGCGTGCATCTCCGCATCTGACTAGGTCCTGCTCAAACCTGTGCCCCTGCTAGCCAAGGCAGGGGCTCAGCAGACTGTCCCTGGAGCAGCTTGGCCATTTTCCCACTTACCCCAAACCTAAAGCCCCCCACATGGGTCCTCTCCAGGCCCTATCTTGGGGAACCCCTGGCCCTTTTTGTATCATCTGGGCCTTCCATCTACCCCTTAGCTCAGTTTGGCTTAGGCTCACGGACCCTCAAATGACTGAGGTCTGAGCAACAGAAATTTGGCCAGTGGCTCATGGGCTGGTTTTGTGCTGTGGGACAGACAGAATGGCGCAGACACAAGGAACACCACCACAGGGAGGGTGGGGAGCTTGATCCTGGAAGACACACAAGCAGATGCTACAGGATGCAGAGGAGGGAGAGAACCTTGGGGCAGGTGTCAGAGGCAGTGGTGTTTGCTTTAAGTTTGAAAGATGGTTAGGACAGTGTTCAGGATTTTAGGAAATTTTTTTTTTTAAATCCTCGCCTGAGAATATGTGTGTGTGTTTTGTTGTTTTGTTTTTTATTGATTTTAGAGAGAAGAAGGGAGACAGTGAAAGAGAAACATCGATGTGAGAGAGAAACATTGATCAGTTGCCTCCCGTATGTGTCCCGACTGGGGACTCACAACACTTTGGTGTACAGATGATGCTCAAGCTAAGAGAGCCATTCAGCCAGGACAATTTTAGGAAATTTGTTGCTAGACTTGAATATAAATAACAGTAGTTAGTACTTACTAATAAGCATTGACTAAGTGCCAGGCACTGTTTGTTTCATGGATTAACTCAGTTATTACCTAAGAGGTATATGCTATTGGTATCCCTCTTGTGTAGACAAGAGGGCCTCGTCTCAGAGAGGCTAAGTGTGTTGCCCAAATCACACAGCTAGTCAAGTGGCAGAGTCAGGATTCAAATTGAGATAGCCTGGCTCTGGCACCTGCCTCTGACTGGGAGGTGAGAAGTTAAGGTGAACCATATGAAATTGCCATTTCTGTACATCAGAAACAGTCGAATATCAGCATTTGCAAATGGTTCCGCATATATAGTCGCTGGGGAGTGGAAATGGCAGGCTGTATCTCAGAGGCATTTAGGAGGAAGAATGTACACGCCTTGATGTGGAGAAGCAGAGGGAAGGCAGGTTTCCGGAATGACTGTGGTGAGCACCTGAATCAAATGAGGCCCAAGGATCTGAGGCTCGGTCTTGAACACTGAGGGACAGAGGCCGGCTGCAGTGTGGTGAGGACACGGAGACAGAGAAAGAACCAGACAACTGTTTCTAGAATTCAACTCTGAGTGGGAGCCTCAAGGGGCCCCATCCAGAGGGGAGGACAGAACACATCTCTGTGGGTGAGTGGGAAAGGCTGACTGCCTGGGGGAGGTCTGGGGCTGTGAGGTCCCAAGAGAACTGGAGCCCTGCTTCCTGACTTCCCCCACTCACAGCAGAAGGGCCTGCAGATGACCCTGGCATGGCCTCACCCCTCCCGTAGGAAGTCCATGAGGAAAGCCTCTGACTCCGCCTTCCAGGCAGCCCTTTGAAGCCGTGGGGAGGTGAGTGACATTCTTGGCAGCTGCCACAGGCATATTTGTGTCCCCAGGCTCTGGCCGGGATGTTCAGTATTGATGATGGGTGGATAGCATGCAGGCACACGTCAAGCTGGGCACATGACTGGCCAGAGGGACCTCTTCGGTGGAAAAGGCCAGCTCAGCTTATGCTGATCTATCCCTTGCCCATGGGACACCCAGTGACACATCCCATCTCCATCAGACTCACCACCTCTGCCCTGACACCATAGGGGCACATGGATAAGTGTGAACAGGAGATTGAGTCCATCCCAGCCACGGTCACCAGAGCCTACCAACCCAACTCCCAAGCCTGCTGGGGCACACGGAGGCACAGAGGGGAACCACTGTCAGAGCTCCTCAAAGCTTTGGTGCCCCATCCCCCTGGGATGTCTGACTCACACAGGGTGGCGAGGTGAGCCCAAGTTCACTTCCTTGGGATTCCCCTGGGCTATGTGCTTCCCGCTCCCACCTTTGAGGGGGTGGGGAGAGGAGGCAGGCAGCTTGACTTGGTTTGGCTAAGTGAGTAGGTTCAAACAAACTTCTTCATTCTTCCCTGCAGTGGGAGAAGGGAGCTCTGCGTTCTAGATGCCACCCATATTAGAAGCAGTACTCTCCACTGCCCAGCCCCTGCCACACACCAACTGTCTTCTAGGGCCATACCTAAATACCCAGCCACAGAGCTGCCCCAGGTGCGCGCCCCAGCCAATGACCAGACCGGGAGGCACCTAAGGTTACAGCTTCACATTAGGGCATTAACCCAGGTCAGGGTCTTTGTCCTCTTGGGGCTCCTGGGCCCCTCCCCATTCTGCTGCTCCTCCCACTCCATACACGTGCAGCAAGGTCAGCCAGAGAAGGAGAGGAGGGACATACCCTTGCTGACAGCAGGGTTGCTTTCCCTGTGGGCAGAGCCCAGAGTCCCACAAACAGCTCCTTCCTCCAGGCCTGGGTGGAGCTCCGCTCCTGCCAGTTGACCCAGGGCTGGCCAGGCGATGGCCCAGCCCCTGAGAAGGCTTAGGAACATTTCTCCTTCTCCAGTTTCTTGTTGATGAAAAACAGATGTGCACACATCTGGCAAGGCAACCCCCCAGCCTCACCTTTCCAGTTCCCCCAACCCTCAGAGCAAGGAGGTGGGGGATGGGGCCAGGGATGGAACAATGAGGGGACCACTGGGCTCTGGGGCTCTCATGTGGGGGCACAGCATGTGGGGGCACAGGGAGGCCCAGCTCCCCACCAGGGTGCCCAGACTAAACAAATGTAGAAATGGTCTGGGAAAAGGCAGCTGTGGCCTGCCTCCTCAGGGGACACTAGGCTGCGTTGAGGCAGCCTCCCTCCCCTGGCTGACCCCAGCACTCCTGCTAAAAGGAACAGGACCTCCTCAACCTCACAGATTCTGAGGCCAGCCAAAGAAAGCAGGCGTGGCCCTGTTTCTCCCCCCACCCCCCTTTCTTCCTTGGTTCTCTGCCTCTCCCTCCCCCAGCCTGCCCAGAGAATCTGACAATTGCTAACACCACACCCCAGATGGTCACCACAGGGCCCAGTAAACCCTTTAAGGCAGGCCCACCTTCCCTCAACCACCCACCCAGCACTCTCCATCCTGGCTACAGCCATGTCACCCATTTTAAGGATGGGGCCCAGGAATCAACTTTAAACACACCACACAGGTGCTTTTTAGGTGACTAGCCTGGCCAGTTCCCCACCTCAAGTATCTTAACACATCGACAAGGGCTGTTGTTCTCATGTAACTGAGGAGGAGACTCAAGCCCAGAGAGGCTGCCCTTTGCCGTGGGTCACACAGCAGATGAAAGGCAGAGCCCATCTTAGCAGCCCTTGCACAAGTCTTCCCTGTTCCCCATCAGTGTCTCTGCCACACCGCCCGCTGGCCAGAGCCAGGGGCTCCACTTACCCTTCAGGCTGCAGCTCCTGGCTGTCCTGGGGCTCATCGATGTACCAACTGCCGTAGGAATAGTCCTCTGTGGTCCCAGAGGAGGTCTGGTTCCCTGCTGCGCTGGACATTCTCTGCTCTTCTCCTCTGACCCCCAGACAAGAGGGGAAAAAAGCCTACAGATGTGAAAAGAGGCTTAGAAAAAAAAAATAAAGAGAAAGAAACCCAAACAAAGAAGCGTTTCTCTTTAATCCTCAAGGTTACTTTCTTGCTTTTAGCTCTCTGGGAATGTGGGCCTGGAAGGCTGGCACGGGAGGAGGGGAAGGGCTTCTCTTGTCCTTTCTTGTTACCTCCCGCCCAAATTTGCCTGGTGCTGCAGGGTGCTATCCCTTGAGGGTAGTCCTCCCTTGGGGTCCTGGAGCTCTTGTCTGTCTGTCTGACCACCAGCAGGCCTTTGTTCAAAGGACCATTTTCAAAGAAATTGTGTCCAATCAAGACCCTCTCTTCCTTCCCCCTCCTCAAACCCACCAGACCGACCCACAGACACACTCTCAAGGAAGGGCCAGGGAGGAAGGAGCTGCAGAGATGAAAGGGTGGGCGGGCTGCTGGGCGGGCTCAGCAAGTCTGCTGGACCCTCCCAGCTGAATTCCTGGCCCCTCCTGCTCTTGGAGGTCCAGCCCAATCTCCCCCCACCCCCTTTTTCAGGCTTTCTCTAGACCACCCCTTTGGGCCTCTGTGGTGGGAACATACCATGATCCTGACAAAGACACCTGGGAGGGGGATGGCGCTGATCTCCACTGGTTCCCAGCCCAGGGGGTGTGGCCAGGAGGAACCTGCCCCGGACTTCAAACACAAGTACCTGCCTTCATGCCTGCCCCAAAGCCCCCACACCTTTGCCCGCCATATCTGCAGTACTCCATGCTCACTCAAGTCCAGTCTGGCAACCTGGCATTTTAGCAACCCAAGGAAACAGGTGGGGCTGGCAGGACGGAGGCTGGGAGGGAGCCTGTGCATTCCTTCTCCCTGGTTTCCATGAAGAACGCAACATGTGTCTCATTGGTAAGACTTTCTTTTTCCACCTTGATTTCACAGGGAGATAACTCACCCCCACAAGGCAGAAATTAGTCCTTTCAATAGGAACCAGACCCACGGGTAGCAAGAAGAACCCCATCTGCCTCCTGCCCCTTCCAGGATGTGGAGTGAGGGTGAGGAAGACAGGGCCTGGGCAGATGCTGGGGATATCTCTCCATCCTGTCTCCCCTGAGAAGCTGCCCCCCATCCCCATCTGCTCCTTTCCCACTCCTTGTTCTATCAGGGGTAGGAGTGGGGTGGCGGGCAAGATGCAGAGAGCAGTTAGTTCTCAGGCCCCTACCCCTGAGTGGGGGTCAGGACCCCTGAATCTTTGAGGGTCTGTGTCCTTCCAGTACCCCACAGGGGCCTGGGCCCTGGCCCTACCCAGCTTAGGCATTTGTCCAACAAGCTTTTTTAAAAAGACATTTATCCATTTAGTCTTTTAACATAAATTCATTGAACACCTACTAAGTGCCACCACTGTTCTGGGCCCTGGGATGTGAGTGTTTATAGTTCAGGGGACACAGATGAGTAGAAAAAATGACCTCAATTGTCTGAGGGTCATAAAGGGAAGGCAGAAAGCCCTGACACGTCCCATGGGAAACTAAATTTGGTCCAAGGGGGAGGGAGTAGTCCTGAAGGAAGTAATCTTTGAGTGAAGCAGACAGTGGAGGGTTAGATGGAGGGTTAGGACGTGTATTCCCAATAGAGGGAATAGCATGTGTGAAGGCTCAGAGGGGACAGGGCTTAATATCCTAAAGGCTCCCATCCAAATTCAGTAGGCAGACCCACGAGGCCTTCCAGATGTGGGCCTAGTGCTCTGTTGGCCTTGACTCCTCCCTCTCCTTCCCAAATGGTCCCTCTTCCAGGATGAAGGCTCTGACCACCCCTCCTCAGCCCATAGAGATGTCAGCATCTGCTGATTCAGAGCTAACCTTGAACTTTATTTGATGCAGTGCCCCCCAAGGGACTTCCCGTGGTATCACCCCCTCCCCAGGGATAGTCCAGTGCCCAGGATATCCCCTCCCTCTTCAGTGGAGCAATGCAGAGGTCACCTCAGGGCTGGACTGGGAAAAGGAAGGAGTAGATCCAAGAGGCAAGAGCAGGATTTCTAGGTCAGTGGGAAATGCCCTACCTGGGTTTGGGGCCTGGCCTCGCCCTGGGACCCCGAGTGAGTCACCTCTCTGGGCTTTAGGCTGTCTCTGTTCCAGGAGGGGTGAGCCATCTAGCCTGGAGACTCTTTGGTTGTGGGCTCTCCCCTCCCTACCTTTAATGACTTTATGACCCAAGAATGTGGAGCCAGCACACTAGTCACTGGTTGTAGCAAGAGGTCAAAAAGAGCAGCTGTGACTGCCCAGGCATCCCCCACTGCCTTACACCCACTCTCCTGACCCCCAGATCCCCCATCCAATCTGGTGGGGGCAGGGAGGCAGGCTAGGTCAAAGATCCAAGGGTACTGGGTGGGCACATGGCTCAGGCTGGGAAGGGGACCCCACTTCTTGAGCCCAAAGTATCTCCTCAGCTTGGAGCTCATATCTGCAAATTGGGAGGGTTGGCTCTGAGGTGTTAGGCCTGCAAACTGGCAAGAAAAAGTGAGGAGGAGAGAAAGACGGTAAGAGGTGCTCCTAACGAATTTCTCTGAAGGCAGAGTCCAGGGCCTGCCACCTGGACATGGCTTTACAGTGGGACTCACACCTGAGAGAGTAGGAGACCGGCGCCGACACCAGGAGAGGAGGGGCCAGAGAGAGGAGGCACTTGGGATACAGACTGCAGGAGCTCAGAGAGGAGGAGGCAGGACGTGGAGTGAAGAGATGGCTTGGGCAGTCTTGAAGGCTTCCTGAGGGGGCCTGGAGCAAGGCCCTAAGATCAGATAAAGTCAGCAATGGTAGCTGGAATGAAGTTTGTCTTAGGAGAGCTGAGAATGGGAGAGAGCAGGGCAGCAGTCAGGGTTACCCAGCTGTGGCCCATTCAGATGAGGCTGATACTATATCCAAGGATCAGCCCAGGCCAAGCTGGACTCCCAGTTGGGCACAGATTGGGGTGGCTAAACCCTGTTCACTGTGGAAAGGGGTCCCCAAAACCTCCCAGGCTCTAAGCAGACAACGACCATGTGCCATCTGGGCCTAGCACAGAGCTGCCATGCCCCTCAGGCCGGAGCTGGCCCATGGAGGCCTTGGGACAGAGTTTCCTTTGTCTCCATGTTTTTGTTCAAGTTGATTACATCTGAGGAATTTTTGCATCTAGAAACAGAGGCCCACGTGTGTGCCTTCCTCAGCCTGTGGTTATCAGAATTCTCAAAGGGCAAAGTGCTAAACTTAAAAGGAGTGAGCCAGAATGAATGGGAAGTCCAGGAGGAGCCCCAGAACTCAGAAACACCCCCAAGGACCCCCGAATTCCCCAGAGGACCTCCAGAATCTCAGCAATATCCCCAGAATTTTAGTAACATTGCAAGAACCCCAGAACACCAATATCACCCCATGAATCCCCAGAACTTCACAAACACACCAGAACATCTAAAACACCTCAGAACCTCGGTCATATCCCAAGCACCCGAAAAGTCTAGCAAATCAAGCATGGGTTGGGGCAAGATGGTCAAAACCATGATGAGCAGTTGTAGAAGCCAAGAGACTCTCCCAGCCTAACCCTTGAAGCCCCGAGTCTTACAAAAGTTCTACACCACCCAAACCTTCGTAAAGCCTCAGGCCCTCATCAACACCTCCATCTCTGCAGCACAGCAGAGATCCCCAAGGAGTGCTTTGGTCCAGGAGTGGAGGGACAGCCCATGTACCTGCTTGTGCAGCTTTGCCCCGCTGTGAGCCCAGAGATAAGGCGCCAAGGTGGGTTCAACCCCATGCAGGCCAGAGAGCTCAGGGTCTGCCCGCATCCACACAGTGCACTCATACACATGTATGGAACTGCCCCCAGCACACACAGGTGCCTAACCCGCCCCAGATCCAGCCTGATCCCATTCTGTGCCTGTAAGGCAGTATTGTTGGCTGCTAAGCTCATGTGATGAGAGTGTGGCCAGCTCCCTACTCCCTACCTCCCTTGTCTCATAGGAGCGTCAGAAGTATCATGTGACATGCCCTTTCTGGAACCCTCCTGCACCCTCACCAACAGTGTCATCAGAGCATAAGGTATGAGTGTGGACACTGGTGAGGAGGAAGAGGAGTGGAGCAGCATGTCCTTCCCCTCCCAGAGGACTACGCCAGAACTGACCCAGAGGAGGGAGGGTGGGGAGACATATTTCTGCTCAGGACAAAGGCAGCTTTCCTACTTTCACAAGGTAGTGAGCCCCCCATGGTGGGGGCAATACAGAAGAGATGGTAAGCCCTAGCTGTTTTTGCTCAGTGGATAGAGCATCAGCCTGCAGACTAAAGGGTCCTGGGTTCGATTCCAGTCAAGGACACATGCCCAGGTTCGATTCCAGTAGGGGGTTTGCAGGAGGCGGCCGATCAATGATTCTCTCTCATTGATGTTTCTAGCTCTCTCTCCCTCTACTTTCCTCTCTGAGATCAATAAATTATATTTTTTTAAAAAGAAGAAGAGATGGTACAGAAGATTTTCTGCCTTCAGAGGATTGCCCCAAAGGCCATGACAATTCCCCCAGCTATAAGAGCCATGGATTTGCCCTTGGGTGGTGCCACCATAGTCTGGCTTTGACATGTTGGCTTCATACTGCCCTCCTTCCTCACTTAGGACACTGTGGATGAAAAAGGGGCCACATACTAACCTGACCAATTCAGGGAGGCCTGTATGGCGGCCTTACAAACTCAGAGTAACCACATACGATGGTCTGAAATTAAAACTTTCTAACTAAGAGCAGGTCATGACAGGTAGTTATGTCCCAGGCCAGTATTTTTCCCTAACAAAGGTCAATCTTTATCTTAACTGAGCCTGTCTGATGTTGTTTTTTTGCATCTACAATAACATACCTTTGGAATATCAAAGTAATTTCTTTTTTTCCAGACCCCTCAAAACACAACCACTGCACCTGAGCAAAGACCAGGATCCCCTCATTGTTATTGTTATCATGTTAATTGTTGACTGTTAACTATCCTATACGCACCTTGTAAAAGAATTATGTGTCCATTCATTTT